GCACCGAACCCACCCCGCCATATATCTCTCGTCGTCATTTCTTCTGCGCCATGAGCTGCCGGCGGGCCCGGGATGCCTCCGCCTGAGAACACCAGACAGACAGGGGAGGCATGATTGTCTTGTCCTTCTCTGGTGACGATATCACTCATCTATCTGTGGTAGGTTTGTTCACCAGTTTGTTGAGCATCGGCACGGTGTCCGACCAGCCGACACACGCATCCGTCACGCTCACACCATATCTGAAATAGCAAGGACCACGTCACAGAAATCGTCCTGTCTGTGTGTTTGTGTATGTGTGTGTGTGTGTGTGCCGACTGACTGACTGACTGACCGCATTTGCTTGAGGACCGCTGGCGGGCTGCTGGAGATGCCCCCGTCTGGCTTGGATGCGGGAGGGTCTGCCGCCGGGATCTCCTGACGACCTGCACACAGGAAAGATAAGTGGATCGGATGAGATCAGCATCACGTCTCCCTCCCTCTATGGCACTCGAGCTGTTTGGCTGACTGACCTTCAAACAGGTGGCTTTCGATCATGACGCCGATGATGTTGTCCTCGCCGTTGCTGAGCTGACCCGCAATGTCCTCGGACACGATGGGCTGTCTGCGGAAGTCTTTGCTGGAGTTGCCGTGCGAGCAATCGATGACCAGCCGGGAGTTGACCTTGGCCTTGTTGAGCTTCTCGACCGTCGCCCTGACCGACGCCGTGTCGTAGTTGGGGCCGTTGGCGCCGCCACGGAGGATGACGTGGCAGTCGGGGTTGCCCATCGAATGCACTATCGCAGGCAGACCCTGCTTCGTGATCTGAACACGTGGGACGTGACACAGGGAGACAGGATGGTGTGTGGGTGTGAGGGAGGCGTCATGGCTCTTTCTCTGTCTACCCCACCCCCAGGAAGCAGTGCGGGTGGCTTGTCGACCGCACGGCATCAACCGCAATCTGTATGTCACCACTCGTACCTGGATGACAGACACAACAGAGTGTCCCAGAGGCTTCCCTCGATCTGATCTATGCGGTTTCTGTGGCGTGGGCACGTGCCTACCGTTTTTGAATCCGACGGGCATTGAGAGGCCGGATGCCAGCTCGCGGTGCAGCTGGCTCTCAGTTGTGCGCGCACCGATGGCGCCCCATGCGACCAGGTCGCACGTGTACTGCGGCACCAGAGTGTCCAGGAACTCACACCCGACAGGCAAACCCATGTCATTCTGATCATACATCACCGGTGGGGCACACACAGGTACAAGGATCGTGTTTTGTTTCGTTCCTTCTCGTGTGTTGTGTTGCGTACGATGTCAGCCAGTAGCCTGCGTGCCTCCCGCAGGCCCTTGTTGATGTGGAAGCTGCCGTCGAGGTCGGGGTCGTTGATGAGTCCCTTCCAACCTGACATACACACGAACGGCACACACAAGCATCGGGCTGTGCATGTGTTGTGGGTATGGGTGTATGGCGGTGTGGTGCGCACCGACGGTGGTTCTTGGCTTCTCGAAATAGACCCGCATGATGATCCGCAGGTCGTCCTTCAAACGCTCTGCCTCCACCACAAGCTTGGACGCTGATTCATGACGCACACACACAGACAGACAGACACAAAGACCAACGAATGATTTGACACATTTAAATCATTGACACACGTGCTGTGCTATGGATGGGATGCGTTGCTGCGCTGCGTACCGTATTCGCGTGCCGCCTGCGCGTCGTGGATTGAGCAGGGGCCAACAATGACCGCCAGTCGATTGTCCCGACCTGCACACACAACATACACCCACCCATCACACACAAGGCCCACAATGACAGCAAGACAGTCGGCTCTCCCCCCCCTCTTCACTTACCTTGCACGATGTCGGCCATTTCGTCCCGTGCAGAGAGGACGGTCTTCTTAGCGCGTGCCGTGACGGGGATCTCCTCCATGAGCAGCTGCGGATAGACGACGGCGTGCATCTTCTCGATCCGCAGGTTGTCCACATCCGGGTCCGCATAGTACTCTTCATACAGACACACACGACTACGACTCTGACGCGCTCTCTCGCTACCGTTACGAATACGATTATGGGTGGCATACGGATGAAACCGAGTGGTGCCACCAGCACCACCGCTACTGCCACACGCGCCCTCCCTCTCTCTGTCTGTCCTGCCTGTCTGGCTGGGCGAGCTGCCTCCACTGGTGGACACTGACGACTGGCTGTCAATGCTGCTGCTGGCCTGAGTGCTGGTGGTGCAGGGAGGGGGGAGGGGCAGTAGGGGTGGGGTGGGCCCCGTACCTTCAAAATGCTGCGTCGATTTGCCCTGGCCGCTGCGGAAGGCATCGGCGGCTTTGCCGCTCGCCATGGCGCACTATCACTCCTTCCTTCAAAAAAGAGGCAGCAGCAGAAGACAAAACAATACAATACAGAGCGCTCACTGCCTGGGTGGGTTGTGCACACGAGGCCAGCCAATCTATCTACAGCAGGTATCTACAGTCTTTCTGGCTCTGTGTACGGTACGTGCTGTCCTCCCCTCCTCCCTCTCAGACTGACCTCAGTTTTGGGGAGCCCTTTGCCCAAACGGCCACAATTAACGCCACAACACCGATCAATCACCGACACCTCCACACACAGAGATTCTTCCTTCTTCTTTCTCTTCCTTCTCTCTCGCCTCTGCGACTGTCTGCGAGCTTATGTTGAAGTCGCGATCCTGAGCTTGCAATGGAAGATGATTTTTCCCACTCCCTGGGCTGCGATAGCCACACGGATGGCTGCCATACTTCAGTAGCTACCCTTCACCAAAGAAGCACATGTATGTATTGCAGCCTTTGGTCTGGCATGTTAGGGTGCTTCATGAAACCGCTGCAGTTTTCTGATGTTCAATCCGTTAAACAAACTAACCAACCAACCAATCAATCCGTGAGTCTCAGATGTCCTCAATCCAAATGCATGTCAATCCAAATGCATGTGGATCGGATACGCGGAGGAACTTTTTTCGCTTTCTCTGGGTCCTCCAGAAGAGAGAGTTTTAAGTAGCCGAGCGTGGTCGTGTGCTGACGTTTGCGGAGCCGCGCACGACGATGATATCGATGCGTCGTTTCAGACTCCTTGCCATCCTGTTTGGGTTGGTTGCCATTGGGAAGGCGGCTCAGAGCAAGGACGCCTCACGTAAGCACAGCGGGGCCACACACGCACCGAACCGACCATGCACCATGGCAGATCTGCCCATACATGTGTGCTTGTGATTGTTGTGTGGCTGATCTGTGGCTGCAGAGGTGTCGGTGGCCGCTCGCGAGCTCGGTAGGTGGCCGCGGCCATGCAGCCATCCATCCGTATTGCGGAGATCTGTCGGTTCTGCGCTGCGTGTGTGTGGTGTGTGCGTGCCTGCAGGTGGGGAGGTGCGGGCGTTTGAGGCCCAGCAGGCGGCGCTGGTGCAGCTGCAACTCGACCAGGCCGCCAACACCATCACCGCCGCATACAAGCTCAACACTGCTGCACACAAGCTCGACACTGCCGCACACCAGCTGACCGCCCAGGCCCTGGAGGCCATCGACAAGGCCCACCGCACCCTCACACAGATGACGACAGAAGGCCTCAACACGCAACAGACCGGAGATGGCAGAGGGAACGACAGTACGCATGAAGGATGCCCTGTCTCTCTCTTTGCGTGGGTGCAGGCCGTCGCAAGATTGCTGCAGAGGGGGGAGGCGTCTGGACGTCGTGCGGGAGCATTGATAAATGCAAAACTCCGTGGGGTGACATACGGATGGACAATCGGGTGGGTGTATGTACGCATGTGTGATCGGTCGACCCATGTCGCTCTGTGCTGCTTGTGTGGCTGTCTGTCTGTCTGTCTCCCTGCAGCCATGCGGCATACTTTACGGCTATCCGTGCAAATGTATGACGACAGACGAGCAAACCCCCTACGCAGAAGATGGCTGCTGGGTAAGCAAGCGTCCTATGTATTGTACACCCACCACACAAATGCTTGTTTGTTTGTTACTACAACGCCTGCAGGCTCTCTTGCCCTAAACAAGCCCGTGTAGCACCAAGCTGGTATGCATCATACATACGAATAGTTCTCATGCCTCGCCCGCCATTCTGTCTGTGTGTGTGTGTGTCACAGAGGGGCCACACACGCACACGCACACACACAGGGCCAAGAGTGAGCGACCAATAGCGGGACAATAACATGGGTGTGATCCCCCCGACCGGTAGCGAAGGGTGTGGGTGGGGTGGGGTGGCTAGATGAGATTGGGGGTGCTAGTGGGCAGGTGGGTGTGGGGACAGATGTGTCTGTCTGCTGGGTGCCTGGCTGGCCGCCACGTGCATGGGAGGGAGACCATTTCTTTTCCAGCAATGGATGGATGGATGCCTGTCTGTCTGTCTGTCTGATGAATGTGTGTGTTGACTGACTAGCTCTGTACATACATACATACATACATTTCTTGTCTATATTGCGATCTGATGGACGATGGATGGCCACTTAAATGAATGGATGAAAGACATACATATATGTACTGAAACAAGGGTCTGAGCGCTCGCTTCGCTCGCAAAAATCCAATTGCAAAAATCATTCTCTCCTGTTTCATACGAGCGAAGTCAGCTGAAAATCCCTTGTTCACTTAAGTACTACTCAGAATTTGTTTATCATATCGTCCGCATCAATGTCGCTTATCTTTTTCTTCTCTCGATATACATGCATTCCATTCATTCAAAGACAGCTGTTACTCGTTTCACCTCTGTCCACATGCATTGCATCAACATGCACACGAAGTACCTACAGGCCATCTGCCCGCTGCTCATGCTATCCAGCCAGCCATCCATCCATCCATCACGTGGTTGGATCATTCATGTGTTGGTCTGCCCCTGGCTCATGCCATGCCGGCGACTGCCTTCTTGACGGGCCCCACGGTGCACGAGTTGACCTTGGCTGCGAAGCGGAGGGAGTTGAGGGTCTCGTTGAGGTGCATGGCCAGGGGAGACACATTCACAAACATCAACGTCTTCGAATCGCCACCTGCAGCCCCCCAGCCATAGACAGACAGACAGACATTCATGCGGATGGGCCCTTCTTCTCTCCGTCTGTGTGTGTGTGTGTGTGTGTGTACCGAGTGAGTCCTTGAGAAGCATGGTGAGTTTGGAGTTGCGATAGGGCACGTGGCCCACACCACTGCTACCCTTCCCAGACGCACCACCACGGCCACCTGCATGCGCAAATGGCCACATCATGTGCACATGGGATGTGCGTGGCGTGCATCTGGCTGGCGGTCTGACTGACTGACCCATGGGGGTGGGTGGCCTCTTCTCCCCGAGCGCACAGATGACATCTCCCAGTGCGCTGAGGCTCCTGTTGATGCTCTGCGTCTCGCGCAGGCGGTCCCCCGTCACCTGAGACTTCTCCACACGCTCAGAACCCGCCAAATCAATCTGACACACACACACACACACACAGTGACGACAATGGACAAAGGGTGCGGATCTTAATCCTTCCTGCTGGCTGACCAGCGAGAGCAGGCCGCCGACACTGGCGTTGCCCTGGCTGGCATCTTCGCCCAGGATACGCAGCTGAAACACACTGAATGATACATAGATGGATGGATGGAGAACACACACATACACATGGAATCGACGGCCGGCCGTGTGTCTGTTTGGGGTATGTGTGTGGTGTGTGACCTATGGCTACGGGAGCTGCGGGCGTTGCATCGGGTCTCGGCTGTGGCACTGAAACCAAGGAAGGACACAATGAATATACATAGATGAGACGATCATGATTGATATGCGTGTAGGCTGCGCTGCCTACAGACCGGTTGCCGTGGGCCTGGATGAGCAGCTGGTGCACCTGGTGGGGGGCCGTCACGGGCACTGCATGGCATGGATGACACACAGATCACACACACCATAATGGCATTCGTCTCTACCGGTTTTGATGTTTGATACGACGACCACGCCCTTGCCGTCGATCTTGATGTCGGGCACCACCCCACCGCCCTCATCCTTGTCAGACGCCAGCAGATCGCGAACCGTCTCGTTGTATATCTATCTAGACACACACGGGTCGGATGCATGGACACACACGACACTGCCTGGCCTGGCCTGGGGGAGATGGGGGACCGACCTCTATGAAGGATGCCTCCACTTTGAAGGACCAGCCGCGCCTGAATGGTGTGAGTGACCTACCTGTGTGTGTTGGTGTGGTGTGCATGGTATGGTGCCCACCTATCTACCTCTGGAGTGTCTGTACGGTGGTGAATATGAGGTCGACGGCGCGCGGGATCATGCCCTTTGATTGCTGATGGATGCCATTCCATTCCACATACAACATACATTCGTTCAGGTGTGGTGTTGGTTGAGCCAGCCCCTCTCTCACCTGCCACTGCTCCTCAGATGCGTAGTTGTCAGGGCCCTGCGGGTGGTGGACAGCATAACGGTGCACAGCATCCACCATTTGGATGGATGGATGGATGTGTGTGTGTGTGACGTACCTCCATGGTGTAGGTCTTGCCGGATCCCGTCTGTCCGTATGCGAAGATGGCCACCCTGTAGCCGTCCAACGCACTCTGAACCAACCTGATAGACAGACATCACATCGATGGATGGGCACAGAGAAAGAGACATGATTGGTGGACTGACTGACGCTTGTACGGGTGTACAGGTCTCCCTCTCTCTGTCTGTCGCTTGTTTCCCATCTATGTATGTATGAGTGTGTGTGTGTGTGTGTCTTTGTGTGCTGACTGTGCAATTTCCTCAAACACGACCGCCTGGGCCGCGTTGGGGGCGAACACCTGCACAACACACATAGATGTGCTCAGCCGTCCGCCTGAATGCGTTATCGGTCAGGTAGAGTACCTTACCTACCTTATCGAATGTGAATTTGTATTGGTTGGAGTGTTCGTTGAGTCCATCCACACTGCGCATCTTGGCCGAGCACAGCGTCACCCCACAGCCGTCGGGACTCAGCTCAAGCTGACCCTCGTCCAAACCGTCAGACACCTCACGACCTGCCCACGTACGTGGACATACACGACAGGACACAGGTGTGGTGTGGTCTGTCTGGGTGTGGTGTATGTGTGTATGCCAACTCACTACTGCGCGGTCGGATTCTGCAGAAGACACGTATGTTGCCTCGGAGCTCTTGTGCGATGTTGTGCAGCTTCTTCCGGAGTGCCTCGGTGGCGTGCGAGTCCTCTAGCAGACGGACTAGATACGCCTCCATCTCCTAAGCACACACACACACACACAAACACACACAGAGGCGAAATGCAAGCAGGGAGGAGATGTGTGGATGTGTGGATGTGTGGGTGTGGGGGTAGGTATAGGTATACCGTGAAGTACCCCTTGAGTTGGTCCACTTGTTTCTGCTGCGCGAAGGCCTCGGCGTGCTGGGTCTGTGTGAGGGCGCAGCCCAGCCAGACACACACCATCCGTACCGTATGTGTGTGTGGTGTGGTGTGTGTGTCGTCCCCCACCTCCTTATCGTGTTTGAGTCGCTCGATCTTGGCCTCGTCCTCAGCTATCAGCGCACGCGTCTGGGCCGCACCGCTCTGACATGCACACACACACACACACACACGCACGCATATGTGTGTGTTCGGCCACTCCACTCCTCGGTGGTTCTTCCCTACCTTGAGGACCTCATTTTGCTGTTCCTGTGCGATGATTTCCTTGTCGAGTGCGGCATTGTCGGCCTCCAGGGTCTCTATCGACACACGCAACTCCTCACTCTCCGTCTGATTGATGCATCCACCCCATGATACACACATACACACACACGGCAGGTGTGATGATAGGCTGGGCTGCTGGGTGGTGTTGTCTGCCTGCCTCATAGTTGGTTTCGAGCTCCTCCAGCTGGCGCAGACTCTCCTCACGCTCGGCCGCCATCTCTACCTGCACATACAAAGCGCACAACACACACACACACACACATGGAGGTCGGCCGATGAAGTGAAACACGTGCGCATTGCGTTCATTCACGGATTGGGTGGCAGGTTGACTGACCTTGGCCTGGTCAAGCTGCTCCAGCTGCTGCTTCAATTCCTCTAACTCGCTACGCAAACGGCTCTCTACACACACGTGTGGTGCACAGCACACATCGACACACACACACATACATACATATAAGTGCAGCCCAGCCATAAGACCCCTCTTCTTCGTTTCGTCCCCACCCTCATCGGCCGTCTGTGAGAGCCGGTTCGCTAGCTCCAGTTTCTTGGCCTTCAGCTCCTCCAAACTCACATGCGGGGGCGGACCACCACTCCCACTACCCCCAGCAACACCAACACCATGGACGCCGCGCACACGTGGGGACGCAGCCCGACGGTTCGCCGCATGAGATGGGGGATGGCCCGCAACTCTGGTGGGCGGCTGGTGGTGGTGCTGGTGTGTGTGTGTGTTGGGTCTCTCCTTGAGGTTGGCTATAGGTACGCGTCGTCCGCCGGGTGGGAGGGGAGGGATGCCGCGGGAGGGGTGCGATGGATTGCCGGCCTCACGGGCTTCCCTGCAGATGGGCGGGATGGATAAGAAAGGACACGTATACACATCAATGTGATGTGCACTGTGGCGCAAGGGCACTCACTTGGCGCTTGGGGCTCGACGAGCGGCGGTCTGAAGGGAAAATAGGATGGATGGACGGATGGATACCGCGAGTTGACCGCAGCAGTTCCTTCCTTCCTTCATCTGCTTACCTTAGTATCTTTTTTTTATATATATATGCTTACCTTAGTATCTGATGGCATGGCTCTCCCTCTGGGCTCCCTCCCCGGCGTCTTCGCCCGCCGCATCGACACATCCTTGTCCGACAACGCCGGCGACGGATGACGCACTCTGCGCATCCGCACACAGCCATCAACACAGCGATCACCATTGCGCCATCTATGTGTTCGTTCTTCCTTACACTTTGGCCCCCGAGGATGCCGTGTGGCTGGCGTACGAAGCTGACGCATCCCCGCCCCTGGGTGTGCCCGTGTCGGACGCCGTGTCTGTCGGAGGGACGGATGGCTGCTGCAGCGGGACGTTCCTGGCAAAGATGCTCTTGGCGAAGATGCTCTTGCGGGTCGGCTGCCTCAATTGGCTCTGAAAGTCCCTCATCGAACCCGCCCTCCTGAGCGTTTACATTCGCAAGGAGGGGATCGCGGAGGGGAACGAGGGAATGGCGGACGAGAGCGAAATGCTGTGCCCTGTCACGGTGAGCAGTAGGAAAAACTCGAAGAATTTCATCGCTACCGTTCACTGCATCTCTGCTTTTCCTTCCAGGTGGCCGTTCGCGTAAGCGCCATATAGATCAGGCCTGATCCATGGATCTGCAACACACACACAGACGCATACAAGAACCGCACGGTATTTTGTTCTCCTCCTTTCCGCCTGCAGATCCGTCCGTTCCTTCCCGACGAGGCCTCGCTGGGCGATGACGTCGCCAGCCAGTCGTCCATCGACACCCCCGACCCCCACACCATCATCGTCAAACTCGACACAAACACATTCATACCACAATCCCAGCAGCAGCAACAGCAGCAGCTCCAGCAGCAGCACTCACAGGCGGCGGCTGATGGCGATGGCGTTGACGGTGTGGTGGCGGGGTCATCCGCCAATGGCAGTGATGGCCGTTTGGAGCAGCTGACGGTGTTCACTGCGGATGCGATATTGGGTGACCAGGAGTCGATGTTTGAGGCAATAGGGATGCCGCTGCTGAGGAATGCGCTCGAGGGGATGAACGGGGCCCTCATCGCTGTCGGGGCAAAAGGTGAGTCAGTCGGCCAATGGGGGGATGGGTGGATGGAGGAGGGGGAGATCACGCCAGGCCAGGGGAGGCATTGGGTGTTTGTGGATCTTCTTTCTGCCCGTGTGTTTGTACGTGTGTGTGTGTGCAGGCACGGGCAAGACGTACACTCTGCAGGGCACGGAGGGTAGGCCGAGCCTTTCCTTTTCCTCCCTCCCCTTTTGTGTGCCGACTCACTCTTCTTGTCTCGTCTCCCTCGCGTGCAGCCGAGCCAGGTCTCATCCTCCGCATACTCAAAGGTAATGAACAAACAGACGGATGGATGGACTGGGTGGATGGATGGATGGATCGGACAAATCACATCTTCAGAGTTGTTTCGTTGGGCCCGCGAGGTGGAGGAGTCGCCCGTGGCTGCGGCAGCACCTGCAGAGATGGCATTCCGCACAGCCAAAGTGCGCGTAGCCGTGTCGTTCACGGAAATCGCCCACAACAAAATCAGGTTGGTCACGCACACACACACAGACAGAGAGAATGAGGACAGGTGGGGGGACTCGTGGAGAGCGTGTGTGTGTGTGTGTGTCGTGTTGCAGGGATTTGTTGGTTCCTCGTCTGGGCGGCAGTGCCGACCTGACACTCTACGAACACCCGGAATGCGGCACATTCGTACCGGCACTCACACACGTAAACCAGCCCCCCCCCCATGTCTCGATGACGGCACTCGCGTCCCCTCTGCACCTTCGTGTGTGTGTGTGTGTGTTTATAGGTTGCTGTGGATAGCGAGGATGAGGTGTCGAGCCTGTTGTCGTATGCGCGTCAGAAGCGCCTGGCCCACGCCGCCACCATGAAGGACATGGAGTGGACGGCACACACACTCTTCACCATCAAAGTCGCACAGGTACGCCACGCCACGCCAGCAGACCCGTAGACAGACCTTCCTTGCAATAAATCCATGGGATGGATGCGTGTGTGTGTAGGTGCTTGCTGACGGGAGTGTAGCGCGTGTGAGCCGTATAGAGTTGTTCGACATCGCATCGACGGACGACTGCCGCCAGCCCGACACATCCCCACCCACATACACAGCAGCCGGCACCACCACAGAGGAGGGCTTCCCGCCCGGCCGGCCCATCAACCCCTCACTCACTGAGGTCGGCACTGCACTGCATGCCCCGCCCCCTCAGCCAGCACACAGTGTATGTATGCCTCTATATCTGTATGTGTGTGTGTGTGTGTTGATGCGTCCATCGATCAGTTGGGCATGTTGATTGGGCAGTTGGGGATGCATCAGGGGAACGGGGATAGTGGGGAGGGGGAGTCGGGCAGGCAGAGTAGCCGTATGGACGCATCACGCATTATCGACGTCTGGGGGCCTGACTGTCAGCCACACAAACACACACACACACAGATACACAGATAGAGAGAGATGGGCTTGTGTTGTGTGATGTCTGTGTGTGTCATTCATGTGTGTCAGGTTTCCGTGCGTCAGGATCCAAGCTGTGTCTGCTGTTGAAGGATGCACTCATGGGCAACTCCAAAACCTGCGTACGCTGCTGGCCGCTTCCTGTCCATCTCCCATTTCATGCCTGCCTGCTATAACATGACTGTGTGCAGATGGTGGCCACGCTGTCCCCGACTCGCCGAGCGGCCGCAGGCTCACTCATCACCATGAGGTCTGTCTTTCTGTCAGCCGTACGAGCGCACACGCCTCCATCCATCCACTGACTCGTTGGCCGCGTGTGTGTGTGCAGGTTGGCGGGCTGTGTTCGTCAGCTCAAGACGCGCCCCGTCGTCAACTTCGACCACTCTGACAGACTCATCAAAGAAATGAACCGGGCAAGTTGTACATGGCCACCGCTGACATCCTTATGTGGTTTCCTTGTCCATCCATCCACCCACCCACTCATCAGGACATAGAGTTCCTCCGTGCCCAGCTGGAGTATGCAGCCGAAGGCACGCACATCGAAGACCTCAAAGTATGCGGCATGCACAACGCAAAATGATATGTGTGTGTGTGTATCGGGTTTGGTTTGCTTTTGCGGCAGTTGGCGTTGTCTGACCGCGAGCGGCTGATCCAGCAGCTGCAGTGCCTCGGCAACGAACACGACAAAGAGGTGCAACGCAGAGCAGACGGCTTCGAACCAAAACATGTGTGTGTCTGATGCAGTTGGAGCGCACCGCGTTCCTCCACAACCATCGCCTGCTCGCACTCCGGGACTGGGGTCTCAAGGAAGGTCTCACACACACACACACCCCCCAAACAAGGACCATCCCTACCACTCCTTTGTGTGCGTCTTTTTGTATGTATGTGTGTGGGTGAGTGTAGGTTACCAGGTGCCAGCGTCGTTTGGGGGCGAGGGCGGTTTGCTAGCCAAGAGCACCCCCCGGCACATCCCACACATCGCCTCCGACATACTCAATGCACTCCCATACCTCGAAAACATCTCGGACGTACACACAACACAACCACATAAAGCTTCAAAGCTCCCATGTCAACGGTGCCGGCATTGCCTGTTGTGGTTGTGGTTGTGGTGGTGTGTGTGTTTGTGTGTGTGTTTGTGTGTGTCACACATGCGATGCCATACAGGGTGTGGGTGAGTCGAGCGGCGTGCTGCAGTACCCTTTGCTGCCGGACATGGACTTCACTGTCGGCGCACGACTCGACAACAGACTCCCACTCAGAGCACTTGGTACTCAGCACAACAGACAGATCACTGCGAGGTGGATGGATGAATGGGCATTCATTGTAGCTGTGTGTGTCACTCGCTTGCACCGACAGGCATCCCGGAGCGCTTCTGTGTGCTGACTTACGACCAGAACAACAAGCAAGTCATCCTTCAGAAGCTCGCCAGAGGTACCTGCAGGACACACCGAGACAGAACAATACACCAGATGCCCACATCAACACACACACACACACATACACCTCCCTCTCGCTCTCCGCTCTGCAGGTGGTGCGTATCATTTGACGGTCAACGGTCGCGAGATCGGTGCGGGCGAGCGCGTGACGCTCTTCAACGGCGACAGGATCATCCTGGGGCAGGCACGTGCGATGCGGCTGGTCATGCCGGGAGGGAAGGGGGGCAAAGGGCAGGGGTATGAACCCGATATGGGCATGGGGTGTGAGGATGGAGAGGAGACGAGGCTCGTGCCCGCCGCCACTCTGCACGCAATGGAGGTAGGTAGGTACCTATGTGTGGATGGATGGATGGACCGACAGAGAGACCATGGTGGTACATGGGTGCGTGTGGTGTGTGGTATGTGATGGGGTGTGTGCAGGTAGAAGTGTTGGAGAATTCTCCCGAGCAGGACGCCGTGCTCGACATGCTAGATAGCGTCAGGGTACGCACTCACCAAAGGCACCCGCATTGCATTGCCGTGTGTGCCCTCCCTCCCCTTCTTCGTTCTTTCATGGGCATACAGGATGTGTTGGGTTTGTCGAACAGCATCATTCCCTTCATGGCCCGCCAGATCGGCGAGGCTGACCTCCTCGTCAAAGAGGCGGTGCGTGCGTGACGATGCATGCATGACACTTCCTTTTCCTTCCTGTCTCATGTATGTCTCTCTCGTGACATTCCCTCCCTGCACACAGAACGAGATACTGAGTGAGTTGCGTCCCGAGGACCACCTGCAGTTTGCCGTCGAGATGTCGCTGCCCGTCTTCCCACACGACACAGAGGAACCCACCACCGCAATCCCACAACTCGTAAGCCACCGAGCGGGCAAGGGAAGGAAACGAACGGCGTCCATTACAATGCATTGCGTCCATTTTTTGATGTGTTCGCTCGCCGCAGGCCGTGCGTTTGTGGCGTCACCCGCACGTCCCCGTCGACATCAGGGGCCTCACCTCCTCACCCACCAGACGGCTGGCCTTGCACAAGGAAGACATGCAGTCGCAGCAAGAAGCTGACGGCCTGGATGCCAACGCAGACACAGAGGGAGAGGGTGGCGAGGAATGCCAAGAGCAGAAGACCATGGCCCAGCCACAGCCACAGCCGCTGCTGCTGTGGCAGCTCGACCGGTTCAAGGACCGGCTTGACGCCATGCGGGGCGTGTACCAGGACTTCGTGACGACTCAGATGGAGGGAGGGGACAGCGAGTGGACACTGAATCCCTCTAGCGAGCCGTGGCGCGACCTCACGGGCAGCGAACTTGCCAAAATCACACTGCAGGTATGTTTGCCGGTGATGGGAAGAGATGGATCGCAACGGATGGTGTGATGGTGTGATGGTTGCAGGAGAAGATATGCTTGTTGGAGCAGCGGGAGGCGGAGAGACAGGCCCTCGAGATGGAGCACCTCACCATGCCGCACCAGGCGGGCGGCCCATCCTCAAACCTCATGGCCCTGTGCGGAGGCGGACGCACCATACACATCAGCCAGGCGGTCAGGCGAGAATTCTTTATTTTCAAAGCTGATTCCCCATTCCCTCCCTTGTTTGTTTTGGTGTGCGTGCAGATGTGCCTCCCTGACCGTGGATCGTACGAGGACGAAGAGAACGACAGCGACTTCGCACACTACCCACACATGACCAGACGCAACAAATCCGACACCGCACTCGGAAGGTGAGCCAGCCAGTCACACCGCATCGAACACCATATGCGCACCCCATCCTCTTTTATCTCTGTCTGTGTTTTAGGAGGCGGGTCCCCAAGAAGCCTGCAGTTGTCCCGAAGATCATTACGATCAGCAGCGGCAGCAATCGCCCCCACGAGACGTCCACCGCGTCCAAGTCCACAGGCCGCAGCAGCAAGACCAGGCTCATGCAGGGGGGCCGTGCCATGTCGTCGCGTGACACCGGGGCCGACGAGAGCGGCGGGGCGTCACCCAAACAGAGGGGGCCATTCGCTGGGGCGACCTCCATGGTGTCCGGCGGCCGCAAGAGCTCACCCACAGGTGGTGCTGGTGCTGGCGTTGGCGTTGGTGCTTCTGAGGTGGTGCCGAGGGGGGCGGACTCCGCCCTCCGCCTCAATGAGGAACTGGCAAAGGTGAGGAAAGATGCACGGCTGGGATCCCCATGCTGCCGATCTTGTCTTCTTTGGCGTTGTGCAGTTGCGCGGTCAGTACGGTCGGCTGTCGAGTGAGCACTTTAGCCTCAAAGCTGCCCACATTCAACTCAAAGTACCGTTACGACACACAGACGACACACAGATGATGGCGCCTGCAGTGAGATCCATCCATCTCTCCACCCTGTGTCTTCGCGCAGGACGAGGCGGACAAGCTGCGCACACAGCTCAGGAAGAAGACGCCACGCACCCCAGCACCCCCGGCAAAGGAGGCCGCCGTGCTGAGTCGGCATAGCCACCCAAGATCACATACATTGCTGATGTATTGACGCGCGAGGGTGCGTGTGGTGTGGTGTGGTGTGGGTAAATCAGGTGATGTGGAGGCATCGGCCAGGGCGCAGCTGCTGGGGATTATCAAGGAGGTGGAGGGGCTGCAGAACACAGAGCAGCAACTGGTGACGCGACTGCTCAGCACCACTGGTACATACCTGTCCACCTATGTGCAGCAGGGAGACACGCAGAAACCTGTATGCTCACGCCTGTGTGTGTGCGTCAGAGATGAGTGCTGGCAAGCGCCGCATTGGGCTCTCCGCAGCAGAAGTAGATAGACTCCGATCAAGACTCGGTAACACACACACACACACACACACAAGAAATCTCTCCTTGACCTCTTCTCGTATGCTATGTGTTGTGTCTGTTTGTCTGTCTGTCTGTCTCCAGAGACGTTGCAAGCGCTGACCAAAGAGCAGGTGGTCAACGTGCAGGCCATGCGCGGCATCCTCATAAACACTCAAGAACCACCGCCCGGCAAAGACACACTGCCGCCCCAGACCAACATCGACTCGACCCCCGCAGCCAAGGCAACCGAGGTGGCCGCGCCCGGCCGCCTGCAGTGGCCACACACGATAACATACCTGAGCGCGCCGGGCGGGGGTGTGGCCGGTCGGGGGTATGGTATGGCGCCACCAGCTGCATCAGCGGCCAAGTGTCCACCTGCCCCTGCCCCTCCCCTGTACAAGGCCACCTACAGCTACTACCCCGCACCGACGTATGCCAGCCCCAACCAACGAGGGGTGGGTCAACACAGAAAGGATCAAACAGGCAGGCACGGAGGCAGGCAGCCAGAGAGGAAGGAACGAACATGTGTCTCTCTCTCTCTCTCTATTTCCCTCCCTCCCTCTCTGTGTCTGTAGGGTCCCATGTCGGGTGCGTATGGCCCGTTGTATGCCCAGCTGCAGCGCGGCTCCAACCAGTACATCCCCAAACCAGCATACCCACCGCCAGTAGGAAGAGCAGCCCCCATGGCAAAGGCACCCTCACCCACACCCAGCACCACCGGCAGCTGGCAGGACGCCGTATCGACGGCCATCCGGGGGATCCCCTGGCCCGGCGCGCAACACCTCTCCTATCAGGTCAGAGTGACCGACAGAGAGCCACGCACACAACATTCACATAAAGACATCTCACCAAAGGACCTTCCTGCAGGCGCCGGTGATGGGCAGCCGTGAGGGCCCGACGGCAGTACCCATGACACATCGAGAGGGCAAGAACGAGCCAGTTGGGCAGGAGGCCGCGCCACAAGTGGTCCCGAAGTCCCCGCCACTTGACAAGACGGCCAAGGCGTTCCCTGCACCAAAGAGGGGAGCTGGCGAGCAGGACAATCTGCGGACGTTGGTGCGGTCTGCGAGTATGGGCATTCACGACAGAGCCAACCCGGTGAGCACAGAAAGAGGTGAAAGAGATGCGCCTCTTTGTTGCTTTACAAATGTGCTGTCGATTGCTTGACGCAGCCTGGGATCAGCCGTGTGACGTCAGTGCCGCATTTTGGAACGTATATACGATTTGATGTTGGAGAGAGAGGAATCGACAGCGACATATACCATGCCATGCTTGATACATTTATGTGTGGTGCAGTGGTGGGGCTGTCTATCCGGCCGGCATGCCATCCTACCCCTACCAGGCTGCATCTGTAGCTACGTCGCCTATGGTAAGTTGCCTGCCACCTGTACAAACAACCATCCATGGGGACTACTCCTCTCTCCCTTTTTTCTGAAGCTGGTGTCGCGCCCGCCCGTCTACCTGCCCATCACCCCCCCGCCCCACCCATCCCACCACCAGCAGCACCAGCACCAGCACCAGCAGCACCAGCAGCATCAGCAGCATCAGCATCAGCGATACAACATCTATCCGCCGCCCGCCATGGCATACACACCCTCGCAGAGCACCCCAGACCTACGAGGCGTCACCCGACAGACCACGGCACCCCACACACACGGCATCACCACCACCACGCAGCAGAGGGCGCCCTCACTCGTATCGCGTGTGGTGGCCGGTGCAGGCAAGCTGTGGACACAGACGACAGCAGGCACGTCAGATGGGCTGGCGGACTACCAGCAGTGAGGGAGCACAGCTAGTGGGGGATTTGGGATGCATTAGGAGGGGGAGGTGAATTGAGGGGCAGATAGGTAGCACAGACCGTGGGATGGGGCTGGCTGCATGGATGGGATGCCGTGTAGCTAGTGTCGATCGCATGACTCACTGACCTACATGGAATTGAATGGGTAAGACCAAATTGTGTCAAGTCTATCTTCCGAGCCACACACATGAGACACGAGCCATGTACATACGTCCTGGAGCATATATACATCGCACTGACGGTCACGTCCATCCTCCACACTCCACTCCCTCCCCATATCATATGTCTTCCTCAAGGTCTTGTCCCTGGCTGGCTTGACGATGTTGCCAGCGTGACGTACCTAGGCGCTTGTGCCTCGAATGCCGACACCCCGCGGTCTTCCGTTTCGCCTGAGAACAACTTCTGTTCCATGTCGGTGAGCCATGCGGCGAAGTGGTGGTTGTCGATGAAGACATCGCTGCCGTCGCTGGCGCACATGCGCTGCTCCTCCTGACCCGATATCTCCTCTGCTTGTGTGCGCTCTAAAAAGTGGTCCACTATCGACCTTCTGTGCGGTGCACATCCCATCCACAGTCTTTCAGTTCGAAGAGTATCTCGCGTCGCGTGCGTGTGTACTTACCCCTTGGTGTGGTGTCTCTGCTGGGCGAGGTCGGATATGGCCCTGATGTCCAGCAACTGCAAAACATGCAGCAGATTGCCGTGTCTCTCTCCTGTTGTGTTGTCATTGACTTCCCCAGTGCCCACCAGTTGTATGGCTTCCTGCTCGTCGACTTTTGGGAAAAGGTCTTGAAGTGCGTTGCGGAACTCAGCAGCTGTCGTGTAGCCGTTGTCGTCCACATCCATCAACCTGACACATACGCACTCGCACAACGACGATGTCGATACATAGCACGCCTGGCACGGGCAGGTGGCTTACTTCCACATGGCTTTGTGCAATGTCTCGTTGGGTGTGAAGCTGCCCTGGTCCTTGTACGCCGTCCGACGCTCCAAAATCTGATGAAACCACACACCCATCACCGGATGACACTGAGCTGGCTGTCTGTCTGACTTGGAGGACAAGGGATGCGAATTCCTCGTAGTCGAGGACCCCGTTCTTGTCCACGTCTGCCTCCTGGCACCACCTCAGCAGGTGAGGCGTGAAGGCGGGAAGCATGATGCCGAAGCCCTGCACACACAGATGTGCCGGTGTGTGCAGTCCTTAGTCCCTTCCTTTGCCTACCTCAATGACGTCGACGGCCTGCCGTATGGTGATGTATTTCGTCTGGTCAACTCTGAAAGATCACGAGCACAACAGATACGACACGAGTCTTGATGCACTTTGCTGTGGGTGTGACATACATGTTGATCCTGGTGGCGAACGTGTCGAATGCGCTCTTGACGGGCTCCTTGCAGAACTCGGGAAGGGAGGCGAAGGCAGCACGCAGACGCTGATCGATCAGACACGCAACGCACACGCTGGGCAGTCGGTGCGCCGTCGTCCCGCTTACGCGGTCCTGGGAAGTGATGTCATCGGACTTGAGGAACATGATGGCCTTCGATCGGAGGAAGGTCATAATCTGTCGGAGGCATACATATACGTGTCGATGTGTCGACAATTGTCATCGACCCACAGAGAGAGATATTGCTGATTGGTCATGTCTCACTCACCTGTGCCTGCCTGCTGGTGGAAAGCGCTTGGTACTGCTGTGTGACCTCCTGTATCGTCTTCTGGTCCGCCAGGAACTCGATCGACGTGCTGATGGCAAAACTCCTGTGCATGCGTGCAGCACGACACAATGGGGTGGCGTATGGATGTGGCTGTGATTGTGACCTGACGATTCTGGGGAATATAATGAGGAGGTTACACATGAGGGGCAAGAGGATGAGGATGAAGGCAAGGAACCCATAGCCGTTCCTTACCCAACTCCACTGCCTGAAGGGAGACACGCATTTGGAGAGGCCCTCCTGTCGGGGCGTGTGTGCTAAACTCACTCACCTTCATTTCACATTGAAGAAGCCAACAGTCGGATTGGCCAGATCCATCGTCAAGAGGACCACGGTAAGGAAGAACAGCGTCCGAAGACAGCCCTGCAGGCCACACAGCACAGACAAGCAACACACACAAATCCACACATCTAACATCGATGGATCATGCTCACCTCTGTCTTCTCGATCCCGTTTTTTGTCCAGGTGGAGAACAGCTGCGCCTGTCTGTGTGTCGGCTTCTTCCTCGTCAGACCCACCTGCCTCACCACCGGCAGACTCTCAAACGGCGCCTTGAGACGCGGCGCCGACAGCAGCTGCTGCAACCCCTCTCGACCCTCGCTCGCCTGCGCCAAGATGGCGTCCACGTCGATGGCGTCGTAATACCGCTCGTCCAGCACAAAGTCGATCGACGATTTCTTGGGCGCAGGGCGAACGTCGCTCCGCCGCCTCTCTTCTTGCTCGTCCTCTTCCTCGTCCGACGAAGGGGTCTCCTCCGGTTTGCTTGGCTGTATGTGTATTTCCGGCGGCGGGAGTGACTCGGTAAGTGACTCTCCGCGGAATGATGCGAGGTCTGAGAGGCTGGCGCGGCCGTCGGCGAGGCCGCAGTAGTGGTACAAGACGAAGTCATCGATCACAGGCAAAGGGGGCGTCAGCCTGAAAGTGACTCAGGTTAGAGGGTGTGTGGCGGTGTGTGGTCGACTCACTCACTCACTCATTCACTCATTCACTCATTCATTTGCTCTCCCTACCGGCTGAGGATGCGGTTCATTCTCCACCAGAGCAATACGACGGCCACCGATTGGAGCGGGCACAGGAGGGCGAGGAGAAAGGTGAACTGACTGCACGCACAATCAGCCAACGAACACAGAGACACGTCTGTGGATGTGTCCTGCCCCCTCGCAGATCTATCGTGCGGTCGTTTGGTCACCGTGATGTCCTCAGAAAGCTGTTGAACGAGAGGACGAACCCAAACACAATCGCTATCACCGCCAACATCGCCCAGAAGAGGACGGGCACACGGATGCACGTCAGCAGCACGGCTGTGAGACGCCGCGAGAGGTACTCGCTGAAACAAAACCTGAGATGTGCGCACACCAGGCAGACGACAGACAGAATGTGACTTGCCGCGTGCACGAATCTGCCTTGCGTACCTGTCAGGGTGCGGCACAGCGCTTTGGAAGGGGTTGCGGGTGTAGACGAAGCGATGCCTGCGGGCCCAATATGTGAGCATGAAGTTCGCCTCCCGCTTTTCACGCCAGCTCATCCCATGACGCCCGTCGCGCACTTGACCAGGTCGGTGGGCGCTGTGTCCTCAGCGCCCTTCCACCGACGCACCACCCGAGTCACAGCGTGATGAAGGACAAACACGCACACCTGTTGTTCCCCACACAATGAGAACACAGACACACTCACACACAGACACACACACACACACAAGTACTGCGGACCGCGTTCGGGTGTGCATGTGTTGTGTTGGGTTTGTGTGTGTGCTTGCCACGTATACGAGAACTCCGACAAAGATGGTCTTGTGTACTTTTTCGCCCCAATGCAGGAGCGTCGCGTGTTGGCTCACATTCGGGCCCTCCCCAAAGGATATCTTCTCGCCTGCAGCATCCCCCAACATACGAATGCCAGGCTGTCCATACATACATGAGTGTGTCTTTTTTCCCACCTGTTACTGTCTCCAGGTCTCTTCTTATTCTCCTTTCGTAGAAGTCGAACACGCCCATGGCCACGACGCCCCTTATGGCGATGGAGACGAAACACAGGTTCGACACTTCTCGGAACACCACCCCCATCAACTGCGCAAACCCCTTCTGTCTCTCAAAGCGGCTGGTGAGGCGCTCAAAGCCGATGGACAGCAGCAGCAGCGTTGCAAACGCCCCACTTACCATGGCATAATGCCTGCACACCGCGACAAAAACCCAGACAGGCGCATAGATCGGGAGGATCATGGCCGTTTCGGTTGTGTCGGTTGTGTCGGTTGTGTTTGTGTGCGGTACCTTTCGGCCAGCGGGTCATTCAGCTCCTCGATCTCCTCCTGTGTGAGTTCGCGGAGGTGGCGGCTGATGAGATTGGACTGATCATCGAAGTCTATCGGCGGAGGCACCAGCGCCCGTCCCCCTTGGCCACTGTCGTACTGAGCTGCATCGACACACGAACATGCTGCAACAACGACCAACCACGCAAAGAACGTTGGACGCTTCATGGCTGGTTGGCCGGGGGAACAGCTGAAGCGAACTGGCGCGCAGAATGTGGGAAAAGGCCAGACGAGACGCCCCCAAGCTGCCCCCAAGTCTCAAGCCGCTGCATGCAACCGGGAGGAAGGAGAGAGGAGAGAGGACGACAGGATACCAGACACAAGCGAGCCACCCTGATTTGTGTGTGTGTTTCATGGCGTGACCGGTCTGCCCTCTCCATAAGCATGCTTGAGTACAATGTGGCTCATTCCCCCGAGTGAGCGAGAAGGTGTTGTGTTGTATGCATATATCCCTTTCCTTGCCCGACCAAACCGATCAGGGCCACCAGCGCCTTCAGTGTCACCATCTGACGGGGAAAGGAGAGAAATCGTCCATCGATTTATCCTGAACCACTGGCATGGTTGCGCATCACATGATTGTACGCGCGGGATTCTGAACTTGAGCACCGACAGATATCGATGGGCCTCGCCGCGAACGCGGCTCGACGAACGGTTACGAGGGGGGAGGGGCCCCCGAGGAATGGGAGGCGATCGGGAAGGGACACCAGGCAAAATGTCGCACCGAAGTCGATATACACAAATTTCCAGTGATCGCGATTGGCCACGGGCTGAGATTTAGGGTAGTCCGTGAAATTCGTTGAATTGTATGATCATTATTTTGTGAGAGAATACGACTCATGTACGTTCAGAGGGGTGGATGCAGGCAAAGCGAACAGTGCGTTTGACTTTCACGAAACACGCAGCAGCGGTAAAAGTGTGTACTGGCAGTGTGGTTGTGAGTCTCGGTGAGATGTAGACAGGCATTTGTATCGTCGCTATGGACTGTGCCCCCTCCCCCCCCCCCCTTTGAAATGGGGGGGGGGGGGGGG